CTCAAACAGAGTTAATTTACCTGATGTTTGGGATTTTTTTTTTTTTTTTGCAGGAAAACCACATAAGTGATATTGTACCCTTCTCAGTGCCCCATGTTAGGAGGCACCCAGTGTCAGTCAGTCCCATTATTGATAATATTAACTCTAATTACTTGGTGAATGTGGTATCTGCCAAGTTTCTCTACTATAAAGTTACTATTTTTTTCCTTTATAATTGACAAATAATTTCTTGGCAATTATTTCAGGACTATATAAATTTTTTATTCCTCTTCAAACTTTCTAGTTTGGCATTGTTAATTCTTACTTGAGCCAACGACTCCTATGCTGCAAAAGAGTGGTTTTCTAAGTCCATCATTTCTTCTGTTATTAATTGGAGTGCTACAGGAAGGAGTTGTTTCCTTTCTTATCCAGTTAGCTAACTAACCTTAATATGGGCTCATGCATTCCTATTTTATTCAGTGGGTTATAATCCATTACTCACATTATTTGCTTTGATTATAAGTCAAATTGCACTCAAATTGTACATCTTTGACATTTGGACATTTCTTCAAGTTGCTTCCCCTGCCCTTTTGATATATTCCCATCATTTTGGGACCACTTTATAAAAAAAAAATGTTCTGGCCCACCAATGTGTTCTTGACTCTCCTTATACTTTCCCCTGCCCCAGCCTTAGAATTGTCCATTTTTCCAAAATATCTGAGTTCTTTTTAGCGGGGAATGGTATCAGGAAATCAAGATCTGAGAGGCAAACCAAGACTTATATAAAATACAAAAATCAATTTCTTTAGAAATAATGCACATAGGGGCACCTGGGTGGCTCAGTGGTTTAACCTCTGCCTTCCGCTCAGGTCATGATCCCAGGGTTCTGGGATCGAGCCCCACATTGGGCTCTCTGCTCAGCAGGGAGCCTGCTTCCTTGTCTCTCTGCCTGCCTCTCTGCCTACTTGTGATCTCTATCTGTCAAATAAATAAATAAAATCTTAAAAAGAAATAATGCACATAGCAAAATCAAATGCAAATCTTCCCTGAGGGGGCCCACCTCATTCAAGGCCTCAAAAAAAAAAAAATCCCACAAATGAAATTTCAAGGTAAATTAGCATATAACTGTCAAAAACAACACGCATGGAAAAAAAAAGATACTATACGCAGAACCAAAAGAAACAATAACCAACAGAAATAGACTTATAGGGACTTTTGCTCTAGACATGTAAAAGCTTAGAGAGAAAATGATAAAACTACTAAAAGACATTAAGGACTAACCAAACAGATGAGAGATATACTGTGTTTAAAAATTGGAAAACAATATTACAAAGGTATTGGTTATCCTCAGAGTTCTATAATTTCAATTTTATTGAAATTATAGAACTCTGAGGATAACCAATACCTTTGTAATATTTCTATTACAATTTCTAATGAAAATCCCACTAGGATTTTTCATGAAACTGGAAACACTGTATCTAAAATGTATATGAAAAATCATGGGACACCCAGCTTAGCTCAATTGGTAGAGTATGCAAATCTTGATCTCATGGTTCAAGTCCCACGATGGGTGTAGAGATTACACAAAAATAAAATATTTAAAAACAAACAAACAAATAAAATGTATATGAAAAATCAAAGGGAAAAAGTAGCCAAGACCCTCCTGAGGGAAGGAGATGAAATAGGTGGGGACACTTGTCCTACCAGATATCAAATATCATTATAAAGCTATAGAAATTAATATAGTGGGACACTGGGGCAGGGACAGAGAAACTGACCCCCCAGTGGAACAGAATAGAGTAGAGAACCCAGACACAGACCTCTGCATTTTGGAAACTTGATATATGAGAGATTTGGCATGGCAGATCACCGAAGAAACTGGGGTGAGACAATTGGTTGGCACAGACAAAAATCAATTTCCAGTATATGAAAGATTTAAAATGAAAGATTTTACAACTTTTAAAAGAACGTATTGGAAAATATCATTCTGACCTCAAGGAGGGAAGAACTTTTTTAAACAAGAAACAAAAGCATTAACCATAAAAGAAAAGACTTGATAAAGTCAACAATATTAAAATTAAGAACTTCTGTTCAAAAAGACAACATAAGGATATGAAAGCACAAGCCATGAACTGGGGAGGCTTCTTGCAACATACATAACTGATAAAAGGTTCATATTCAGAATGGAAAAACATACATTAATCAATCAATCAATCAATCAAGAAAGGGAGGGATGGAGGGAGACAGAGACAGAGAGACCAAAAGAAAATAAGCAAAAGACACATGTTCCTCATAGAAGAGAAACACAAATGGCAAATAATCCATGAAAAGGTGTCCAGGCTCATTAGTAATCAGGAAAATGTGAATTTAGATCACGACATGATACCATTCTACCCACTTGATTATAGAGTTGTTGCAGATATGGATAAGGGGCTGAAACTCACGGCTGGTGTGTAAACTGTTACAACTACTTTGGAAAGCAACTCGGTACTATTTCAGGCAGTTGAACATTCATATACCCTGTGACACTGCAAATCCACTAAGTAGGTACTCTAGAGAAATCCTTAAATATGAGTACCAAGTATATTCATTAGAACAAAAGCAAACAAAATAAAAAACCAAGCTAATTAACTGAAATGTCCATCAACAGGGAATAAAGCATAGCTACATCAACATGAATGATCTTAGAAACATCTTGAGTAGAAAAAATCAAGGCCCAGAAGGCTAAAAACAATGTAATACCATTTTTACAAAAACTCAAATACAATATCTTTAGAACACATGAAAAAATGTAAAAATATGATTTTTAGAAGGGGTCAAGGAATGACGAGAAAAAAATTCAGGGGCACCTGGGTGGCTCAGTGGGTTAAAGCCTCTGCCTTCCGCTCAGGTCATGATCTCAAGGTCCTGGGATCGAACCCCACATCGGGCTCTCTGCTCAGCAGGGAGCCTGCTTCCTCCTCTCTGTCTGCCTGCCTCTCTGCCTACTTGTGATCTCTCTCTCTCTCAAATAAATAAAATCTTCAAAAAAAAAATTCCCTGAAAAAAAAAAAAGAAAGAAAGAAAAAAATTCAGGTTCAAAGCCAGTCTGGTGGAGGGGCAGGTTCTTGGGAGAGGAGCCCACGGAAATATGACAGTGTGTTCTAGTTGTGACACTGGGTAGTAGGTTCATGAAGTTCACTTATCATGCTTCTTAATCTACAACAGCTTCCTCAGTCTTGACACTGTTAACATCTGGGGCCAGATGAATCTTTGTTGTAGGGGAATGTCCTGTGCGTCATAGAGACATCCTAGACCTCTACCCACTTGATGCCAGCAACACACCCCTTTTAGCTGTGACAATAAAATATGTCTCCAGACATTGCCAAATGTCCCTGGAGAGCAAAATTGGCCCTGGTTGAGAATCACTGATGTATATATATATATATGGTATATATTTTTTCATGTGTGTATTTTGTTTTATTTTTAAGTAGGCTCCATGCCCGGTGTGGAGCCCAGTGCGGGGCTGGAACTCATGACGGGGAGATCAAGACCAGAGCTGAGATCAAGAGGCAGACACCTAGCCGACTGAGCCACCCAGGAGCCCCTATAGGGTCTATTTTTTGAATGCTTTCAATGCTCCATAATAAAACAAAGTTTAAAAGTGATGAGCAGAAGTTTCACTCTGTCTGTGAAGCACGACTAGGAAGTCATCATTAAGCTCTAAGAAAAACAGAGCCTGCCACAAGCCTTTGAAGTGACAGCACAGAGCCGTGAGGGCTGACAGTTGCTGGAGGATTTGACTAGCTGGTGATATTTCTAGAAATGGTACAGGGTATTGGGAAATCAATGACTCCAGATCCACTGGAGGGATATTTCTGCAACCTTTCTCAATTCTTTGGCAAATCCAAAAGCTTAATTTAGCCTTTTAGAATACTATTTAATTTTTTAAAAATCCGTTATTAATTTTTTTTAAAACAAGGACTTTTGTTTATATAAGACCTCCTAAGGAACTGAAGGGTGTCCATATGTTTTGTTACCTTTGGAGGGGGTGGCTATGATTGTAAAGTCACCACACATTTCACTGTGGGCCCCAGATAACTCAGGTATTTCCAGAAATAAGATCTGATAGCATAACATTTGCTTCTTAGGATGATGAGTGATCCCACACTCACCGTAGCACCCCATTAATCCAAGAACCTCCCCAGTGATGTGGTTCTACTTGGGAACATCTATCTGACTCTTATACTTACACTATGGCTCCTCTCATGGAGAGTTTATTATTTATCTCCATTTTAAAAATGGAGAAACACAGACACAAAGAAGATACATGCTTTTCAAGATAACATAATCTAGAGTAATTATAAATAGAGTTGGTGCTAAAATCGGGTTTATTGAATCGTAGTCTGTGTGCCTTTTTCTCCAAGCTTGGAACTGAGCTTGTGTGAGCATTAGTGTGTAGACATGTGTGTGTATATCTGTGGTCGGAGAGTTAGGTGTGTGTTTCTCTGAAGACAAGGGGGAAAGACGAAGGACTGAAGAGAAGAGCTAGGAAGAGAGGCACAGTAGAAAGAACATTGGGTTCGGAATATGCCTTGGGCCAGATCTCTCCGAGTCTCAGGTTCTTGTTTTTTTTTTTTTTTTTAAAGATTTTATTTATTTACTTGACAGAGAGACACAGCGAGAGAGGGAACACAAGCAGGGGGAGTGGGAGGAGAAGCAGGGTTCCCGCAGAGCAGGGAGCCTGATGTGAGACTCGATCCCAAGACCCCGGGATCATGACCTGAGCTGAAGGCAGACTCTTAATGACTGAGCCACCCAGCCGCCCCCTGAGTCTCAGTTTTTTTTAACCATAAAAACTCACAAAATGATTGCAAAAGGTAAATGAGATATATATTTGAAAACACTTTCTGTTTCTGTATATAAATGTGATTGTCATTATTAGCTAATGCAATAATTTTAAAATGCAATGCAGATGATAAAGGAATCCGCATGGGTAAAATGACTCACATTTTCTTCATTTTCTTGGCACTAGCTCTTACCATATGTCCAGTTCAGAGGAATATTCAGTGGCTCCCAGCAAGGCATCAGGAGGCCGGTACCAGAGGGTCACAACTTCTGAAGAGTATGTCTGGCTGGGAATGGACTTTGCCCGAGCGAGACCTGACCAAAGAAGAAAAGCACAGAACTCACTGTCCTGGGACTTCCTGGAGAGCCAGGAATCGATGTATGCAACCAAGGAGTTAATAACTGGCAGAATAATCAACATTTAAAAAATAATACATAAACTCTGGGTGCTTTTAATAGAGTCACTCAACTATCTTGACCCTCGTGGACCTCATCAAGTGAATTTCTCAAATTTTGGCCTACATTGCAGCCGGATGTAGCCCTCCTGGCAGGTAAGTATAGTGAGGTGACCAACTCCTTCCCTATATGCTATAAACAGAATGGATGTGTGAGCTTTTGGATCATCCCCCTTTGGAGGGATTAAGGATTCTACCCTTTCCCTCTTCCTCCAAGCTTTAATGAGAAGGAGGTGGTGGCCATCTTTAAATACGTAATTGGGGGAATACTCTAAGGATGGTGGGGCCTCGTGACAGAAGGGACATGGGTCAAGACTCCATGGGCCACCATACAAGCTCTGACTACTTAGGTTAGACTGTTACATGAGAGAAAGTTAAGCTGCTTTTTAAAAAAGTTTTATTTAAAAAAATATTTTATTTGTCAGAGTGAGAGATAGAGAGAGAAAGAGCACAAGTAGGGGGTAGAGGCAGGCAGAGGGAGAAGCAGACACCCTGCTGAGCAAGGACCCTGGGATCATGACCTGAGCTGAAGGCAGATGCCTACCGATTGAGCCACAGAGGAGTCCCAAGAAATTAAGCTTCTAACATGTTTACAACCTCTACTTTGGTGTCTCAGTCATAGCAACAGAACTCAATTCACAAGTAATATGATCGCCTTCCATTTTTGCAGTCCAGGAATCCCTAGTTTAGTAAATTGCAAGGGGGGACTGCTATATTCCAAATTAGTTTGGTAAGACCTTGGACATATCACTCTTAAATTTTCTTCTACAGTATCAGAGTACTTCTTTTTTTTTAAGAGGTGGGGAGGGGCAGTGAGAAAGGGAGAAAGAGAATTTTTTTTTTAAAGATTTTATTTATTTGCCAGAGATAGAGAGAGAGAGAGTACACACAAGCAGGCAGAGAGGCAGGCAGAGGCAGCGAGAGAAGCAGGCTCCCTGCCGAGCAAGGAGCCCGATGTGGGACTTGATCCCAGGACCTTGGGATCATGACCTGAGCCGAAGGCAGCGGCTTAACCAACTGAGCCACCCAGGTGTCCCAAGAAAGAGAATGTTAAGCAGGTTCCACGGCCAGCAGGGAGCCCAACATGGGGCTTGATCTCATGACCCTGAGATCGTGACCTGAGCCAATATCAAGAGTCGGACGCTTAACCAACTGAGCCACCCAGGAGTGCCTATTAGTACTTTTGTCAGTTAGCTACTCATCTCACAGAATCACATGATCTAGAGCTGGGGAAAGACCTCAGTAGATGAGTTCTCAATTGTGGGGAATTGAGAAATGAGGATCTGTTAAATGCTTACTTGTCCAGATGAAAGCTACTACGTCAGAAAAAAAGTCTTGCAGCTATAGCACAACCATTTGCTATCTGCCAAGCAAAGAAGAGTGGTTTCTCAACTCCAATTTTTCAACAAATATTTCCTGAGCACCTACTATGGTGTCTGGCCCTAGAGAGACAATGACAAGCAAGATGGACTCAAGCTGCCTTCCTAATGCTTACAGTCCAGTGGAAGAGACAAAATCATCACACAAATATACGTGTGTATAATTATAAACTGTGGTAAGTGCTAGAATGGAAAGATACAGTGATACTCCAGGGAATTCCATGTCACTCCAATGGGACAAAAACCTCAGGTAATCCTACAAAGACAGCTCTATTGATAGGTGTGCAGGAGCAAATGCCCTGGGGTCTCTATTCCAGCAGGAGGCCATCCTATAATCTGGGGTTTACATCTTTATCCTGTCATCATGGGATAACCTGGATCTATTCTGACAGAATTTTTCTTTCCACTCACATGTAGGAAAACCTTCTAGGAACAGTTCACTTACACACGTCTCTCTATTAAAAATGGTCATGGGGCTCTAGAGGAGCCCAAATTTTTGGATCTGGTTAGGCTGGAGCTTGATGGAATTCTAGATGCTACCCAGCTTGTCCTGTTTCTTGCCTCACACTTCCTCTAGGGTAGTTTGACATCCTCCCAAAGCATCACGTTCCATGGGCCTCCACTTTTCAAGGGCCAGGGCCTGTCAATGCTTTAAACATGTGCACACAAAAACATCATTATTTGTAGCCCAGAAGTAGACTCGAGGGGAGACTTACCAAAATCAGCCAGTTTGAGCTCTCCCAGGTGACTGATGAGTAAGTTCTGAGGTTTCAGGTCCCTGTGAAGAACGTGTTGGTGGTGGATATACGCCAGGCCCCGCAAAAGTTGAAACATGAAAAGCTGGAAGGAATGAACACCTTATCTAAGCAGATTTGAGCCACTATGTGTTGATTTCCTCTCTAAATCAAAACCAGTCCTCTGAAAGAATATAGTAAAAGTGTCTCTTGAGACACAAAAAAATATGAAGATTTTACATTCAGGGGAGGGGGGCACGGAGACAAGGAAAGTCAAGTAAGCAGACCATGTCCTAAACAAAGGGATTCTGCCTTTTCCTGACATCTCATTTCTTTGATACTGGAGGAATTACCTTTCCTTAAAAATCTAAAGGGAAACTTTGAAGTTTCCTTTGGAACACTAGTTATTGATTTAGATGTGAAAGATTTAATTTTTTTTTTCCCACCGATGAACTTGGCATATAAGATCAAAGTTGACCTGGAAATGATATTCTAAGGTTTACAACTGCTTGAGTTTTCCAAGCTCTCTGATATGAAACCCTTTTAAAAACATAACACAAGGAGACCAGACTGGGAAATATATCTTTAGAGGGTTAGTAGGAAATAAAGGAACCATTATCTTTTTAAACCTATTTTTAAAGTCTGAAGTCCAAAGATGAAAACAAGCTATAATACAGCCATTTGATTAAGAGGGAAGAGAGACCCCCCAAAATTAGACCAAAAAAAAAAAAAAGTCTGAAAATAATAAGGAATAAATAGTAGAGAGAAGAAAGAAGAGGGAAAAATACAATGTGGGCCCAAATTTTTAAATGCTGCATGTGGTAAAGAAGGCATAGAAACCGAAAACATCTCTAGGTTCTCCCCAGTATGGAAGCTGAAGGAAAAAAAAGAATGCTTAGGATCCCAATGTCTTTTGCTCTTTTCCAGTGCCACTGGCAATTGAGAATTGAAACACCAACTTTAGTGTTTACAAAGACCTCTGCCAACTGAGAACATGTTCTGACAATTTAGAAGAGAAAAGCCTGGCTCCAGCATTCCTGGAGAGGCAGACAAAGTAGTCGATGCAAAGCTGTGCAAATAGATCCACTTTTCCCATCACATCCTGGAAATTAGGAACTTCAGGGACGCTGGGACCTGTACTGGCCTAACAATGAGTAGGAGATATTGTAGCCAAGCTGAAGGGAGTGCGGTCTGACCAGAGCAGGAGTCTGGGGGCCGTGGACCTCCATGCAGGTCTCACCTCAGGCTCACAAGCCATTTAAGGACGTGAAAGTTTTCTTTCAACTCCTACTTCAAATGCTCACTGGTTCTATGAGTTTCCCCAGTGCTTTCCCATATTGGTGCTTTGCACACGTACACTATCTGTTTTCCCATTCATCAAACCACGAAGTTACCAAAATACGAAATTCCTATGCCAACACTTAAACCTTCCAATCAGCTATAAATACAAATATTTCTGGAAAAGACCATATGAAGGACCAATGAAAAATGCAGGAAAAAGAGAAGATGCTACCTTGTGTGCTCACAGATAATGCCTTTCAATGTGAGAACACCAAGGAAGGAGAGAGCTCGAGACAATAAAGGGACAGAGACAGAAGGGAAGGGAAAACAACATTTATTGCACACTTAGCACCTTTTAGAATCCTCAAAGTAACCCCGTGAGGGAGATAAGCTGGTCCTCAATTTGCAGATAAGAAAAATAGGGCTCAAGGAAACTTTAAAAACATGTCAAGAAACAGTCAGGGCCAAAACTCAAACTCAGACCTGCCTAACTCCTCTACGCCATTCTGAGAAACCAGAGAAAAGCAAATTAAAACATGACAGGGAAAGGGAGCATCAGCAGGTTGAGTCAGAGGCAGAACTTGTGCGTGGGCCAGCCAGCAATGCTTTTCATGTTGGAGTGCAGACTGCTCTCACTAATGAGTCATCCGCACCTCCCACCTCCTCGCTCTCCGGCCCCTTTCCTCCCCGGCTCCTCATGGATGTCCGTCAGCATTCCTACACGGTAACGCGCAGCAGTATTAATGTATGGGATTTGATAGCTGCGCTTCTTAAAACTTAAAGTCTGCCCTGATTAACCTCCCTCTTGAATCCTTTGTGACCTGGATCCTTCCCTCACACTGGCCCAAGCTTCTCCTATAACACAACCCAACCCAACCCAACCCAATGGTGTCAGTTCTCAGTCAGTGTCAAGCCAGGTTGTGGGTGATGCTTTCCAGAGCGGCTTCCCAGACCCCAGGGATGAGAGTCCTGTTTTCAACACAGCTAGGCTCCTGGGAACAAAATCATTTCACCGGGCTAGTGCTATCTGGGCCAGAGTGAGCATTTTCTCTGCTGTGTCTGCTAGGGGACACTCATCTGCAGCCCCACTTGCTTTGATTGGAAAACCATATACCCCTGATAAGTCCCTCTGTTAAGTAGAGTAGCCCTCACAAAGCCACAAAATGGTCAAATCTGACTGCAGTCAAGTACGGTTTTCAACCGTATTCCTGGAGCTAGTGGCCGTCTTGACCATCCATGCCTTCTCTGAAATTGTCTCTCGCCTTGACTTTCAAGAGAGTGTACTTTCCTGGATCTTCTACAGTCTGAAAAGCTGCTTCCTTTTGTCTCCTGTTGTCCTGTTCCTCCTTTAACCCCTAAAGGAAAGAGTTCTATAATCAGTTCTTTTATCTTGGTGTATTTGCTCTTTGGGTTATCTACTCTCTTGTCTTGAACTACAAACTCCAAGTGCCAATTTCCCCCAAGTCTACATCTCCAGCATATAGCTTCCTCCTGGGCACTGTCTACTACTCATTTCCCTTTAGATTTCCACCTCGATTAGAAGTTCACCCTGTCTACAACAGGACTCTTCCTCCTCCTCTCCAAATCAACTTCTTCCATTTCTGTTACTAGATCTGTAATTCTTCTGGTCAATCAAGGAGATTATGCTAGAGATCTGGAATGTGAGGCCTCACCCTTGACTTCCTGAATCAGATGCCCAGGTCATTTGTCCGCTCACTGAAGTTTGAGAAGCCCTGGGCTGGCCCACATCAGTCAACTCCTGGACCTCAGTTACATAAATTTCCTCGGATCATGTCATTCTCTCTCAACTTTAAGTCCCTTTAATGACCCTACCATCTAAGAAATAGAGTCCACATCTTAGAAAATAAGGCTCTCAGCCACCTACCCCATCTATTTTTCCAGGCCTATGTACCCTGATCTCACTAATAAATTCTCTATGTCAGGCCAACAGCACCAGAGATGCAGTATGGGCACTAGTGGAAAAGGACCTTCAGCAAGAATCACAGTTAGCAAAGGCAAAAGCTGTTTCTGTAACCCCAGGCAAAACACTTGTCTTCTTAACCTTTAGATTCCGATTCTGCAAAATAAGGAAGTTAGACCAGCCCAATGTTTTTAAGGTTTTGTGTTTTTTTTTTTCTTGCTGCAACTTACAATAAGAAACACATATGTATCCTGTATTCGTACAGAGGTACAAGTACAGCGTCAGCGAGAGCTGAAACACAAAATAGTGCTTATTCTTACTAGGTGTAATGTACTCTAATATTTTCTATTCTCTTCTCCTCTATTCTATTTAATTTTTTAAAATGCTAGTTGCTGATCACCAAATTGATTTCATAACCCACAAACGGGTCAGAACGTGAAGCCTGAAAAGCACTGTGGTTCCTCCAACCCTAATGGTCCACAACTCCGGGATCCTCATCCTTCAACACATCCCATACTGCTCTGCTCGGCACTTCCGTGTCTCTGCCCTGTCCCTTTGCTGAAAACATTCCTTCCTCCTCCGACATCTTCCCCTATCCCAGCCTCTTGAAATGCAATGCATCTTTTAACATTTGGCTTCATAAAAGCTCTTAAAATGCGAAGACATCTATCTATACTAGGTCTTATATCTATTTTGGTCTCATTTCTTACTTGGTGTTATTCACAATTCACAAATGTCCTGTCATAGGATCGGTGCCTATTTCCCATCTCTTGATTTTGGTTGTAAGGCCCTTGAGGGGGTAGAAATCATGTCTTCTATGTCTCTTTATCCTTCTAAGCCTTTAGCAGAGTGCCAGGGATGAGAGTCACTCAAGCTTGAAAATGTTCTTTCTCGGTTATCCTTTCTCCAAGTGTCCATCAACTTAATCAATAACCCTGGTTCCTTGACTCTTCTGCTCTCTCCCTAGCTACCAGCAACCGTGCTTAGCCTCACTTCCTTCCTTCAGGTTTGACTCAGCTCAGAAGCCTGACCATCATTTTAACCTCTCTCTTGACAATCTGCTCAAATCTCTTGCCCAACTGTCTTTTTCTTTCACATGTCTGGCAAAATCCCAACACTGAATCAATCCAACTGTCTACTTTTTCGATTCCTCTATCTGAATTGGTCAGTACTGTCATTAAAAAGGAAATCCCAGTTGGGAGGGAGACAAACCATAAGTGACTCTTAATCTCACAAAACAAACTGAGGGTTGCTGGGCAGAGGGGGGTTGGGAGAGGGGGGTTTATGGACATTGGGTAGGGTATGTGCTATGGTGAGTGCTGTGAAGTGTGTAAACGTGGAGATTCACAGACCTGTACCCCTGGGGGAAAAAAAAATATATATATATATGTTTATTTAAAAAAAAAAAAAAGGAAATCCCAGGATCATGCAGATAATTTAATGGTTTCCATTCTCACCAAGAGTCTTCAACCCATTACTGGACATTCTTTCTTGGTTTGCCTAGTTAGGGCTCTATCCCATCTCCACTAGCTATTTTTAAATGTTTTCACTCTCCTCAACCCTCAAACCTTCTTTTTCCCCTTGCTTCCAAGACTGGAGTAGGTCCCATTACTCTGAGTTCTCACCGTATTTCCAGTTAACATGGCTGTAGCCACTGTCACTTTGCTTCTTACTACCTGTTTAAGTCCATATATCTTACTGGGCTTTAAGCTTATTGAAAATAAGAAACACAACTTATTTATTAGTGAAGCCTCAGAACTTAATATAATACCAAGTACTCAATCATTCTTGAATGAATAAATGAATAAAAGAACATAAATATTAATTAAATGAATGAGTACATCATATAGAAATTTCATATAGATTATATCAAGGACCAATTAATGCCAATAAAAATCTTAGGGAATGAAAAGTATGAAATGAAATGGTTTCTAAAATTTACAGCAGACATAGAATTATAGAGAGTTAAGAGTTTATTATTATTTCTATTCCAGTGACTGGGAAATGGAACTTGGTCCCATTTATACCACGAGTGGATAGAACAGGCAAACAGGTAACTGATTTCGACCTAACGGGGGTACTTTGTTTGCTGATTCTGATGGGGAGCTGTAAATATATCACAAACTTTATCACAGACCACAGTAGTCTGCCATGAAGAATGTATTTATTTTATGATGGCTTAGTTCCACTTCCTTCCTTTGAATGCAATTCTTTTTAATTGATCTGGACTTCTGAAGACAAATTTGCATTGATGGCAATGACCGACAAGTTTAGGCTGCTTGGAAAATGGCTAGACATTGCTCTGTATCTTAAGGGGGGACTTTTTTTTTCTTTTTAAGATTTTATTTACTTATTTTGAGAGAGAGAGCTCACGAGAATGCACATATGACCAGGGGTGGGCTGGGGAGGGGCAGAGGCAGAGAGAGAGAATCTCTCTCAAGCAGACTCCCCATGGAACCCCGGAGCCTGACAGGGGGCTCCATCACCACAACCGTGAGACCATGACCTGAGCAGAAATCAAGAGTTGGATGCTTAACTGACTGAGGCACCCAGGCGCCCCAAGGGGGAACTTTTTTCTAAAACGTTTCTCTAGAATATCAATGATAGGCATCTTATTTAGTATCATGGGATTTTACTCTGTGATGACAGTCTGTTTCAAAATTCTTCCGCTGAGGGCAAGCTGGGGAGGAGTCCTCCCTCTCAAAGTACTCACCCTAACATTGTGAGGATGAAGCCCTCCTGGGTGCTGAGACATGTACTGGGCCAGGTCTGTGTGCTACACGGGAGGATGGAGAGAATGATGTTAGCAGAGCTTAAACAGTGTCCTAACGCAGACCACAGACGTGGCTGTCAGATACAAACTTCAGAATTTTCAAGAATAAGGTACAAAAGATACATAACCAGCTTTCCTGAGACCTCACTATCAAGGTCAAACACAGTGTGTCTTTCTAAATGGCTGTCCTAGGAAGGAAGCTTGTTTCTCATCACAACAATATGTTCATTTTAAATGACTGTCACTGAGCACAGCGATACAGGCATTGTTCACTCCCCTTGGAGGCAAGTCAAGTACACATGCCTCAGGATTTCTTCCTGCTAATATTTTGAATTTTTTTTTCCTTTCAAAAATATGAAAGTGAGTTATTATTTAGTAAACTTGTATACAATTTTTTTTAAAAAACCTTGCGATTTATGTCTTCATTGTCAATGAAAAAAATGCGGGGTTCTGCTCAGATGGTGATTAAAAATAGATAAAAAATAAGCACAAAAGTTTTCTTTAGGAGGCAAACTCACCATGCTTATTTATGATTGCCAGCAAGTGGGGGAAAAAGACAGCAAATTCAGTGGGTAAAGAAGCAGGGCCAAAGGAGTCTAAGAACAATAGGGCCTAGTAATCATAATAATGAAAATTTCCATGACACCTTCCACATTGTAATGAAAGTTTTATCATGCCATAAAATATTAACAGATTCATTATATGAGCACCAGGCTTTTCCCTTACGCTTTATAAAATGCTGGGGCAACTCACCATGTATTCAAAAACAAATGTCAGAGTCTCTCTCGTGTGGATGATGTCATGTAGGAGCACAATATTGGCATGTTTCAAACCCTTCAAGAGAGAAGCTAGAGAAATTAAACAAAATGTTAATTCAATCATTGATAATGAAAGTACTGCTTAAAGATACCAAGCAGTATTTATTTTTTAAATGCTTCAAATCAACCATTCTGGTTTTTTGTTGCTTGGGGGAAAAAAAACCTTCGTGAAATAATATTTGAAATTGCAAAGGACCTTTATTATTTGTCAAATGGCAAGTCACTGCATTTACATAACTTATTTTTCTTACAGGCTAGAGCAGTTGCAAAAAAAAAAAAATGTTTCCATTTATCTAATCAATTTCATCAAAGCACTCAGAGCACTTTGCAAATGCTTCCCTCTGGGAATCTTATCTCCACTTTAGAGTTACAGGAGAGGAGGTCCAGAGAGATAAAGGCCATCGCAGGAGCAGGAAATGGAGTGTTCTGCCTTCTAGAGTAGGACTTTGCAACATGTGACCATTCTCTAAAATTCAAAGTGTCTCAGAGGGTCAGCAGGGCCAGTGGATGTGATTAGTGGAAGGCAGGGATAAGAGTATGGGATGCAGAATTGTTGAAAGATGATAGAGAGTGGAGAGGATTTCTTAGAGGGAGAATTGCAAATCTCTGTGGAAAAGGAGAAAATGCAAACTGGAAAAGAGTACAGAGCCAAAAATTGGGGAATCCTGAAGAGTGTGAGTGGGGAGGTCTGAGGACTATCTCTTGCATCTTTTTTTTTTTTTTTAAGATTTTATTTATTTATTTGACAGAGATCACAAGTAGGCAGAGAGGCAGGCAGAGGGAGGGGAAGGGAAGCAGACTCCTTGCTGAGCAGAGAGCCCGATGAAGGGCTCGATCCCAGGACCCTGGGATCATGACCTGAGCCGAAGGCAGAGGCTTTAACCCACTGAGCCACCCAGGCACCCGACATGCATCTTTATTAACAGATTATTATCAGGTCACTAAAGGCAGCTTTAAAAGGGAGGAGTCACCGCAAAAGGCCAGTAAGTGGCTGGGAAGGAGTCTGAAAGGCTGTCTTTGGGGGTTTCAGGGATAGGAAGACCCCCCAGCTTCACAAGGGCAGAGGCCAGCAAAGGCATAATAAGGAGATGGTGAGTCTCAGCTCAGGACATCTCTGCACGAGTAAACAGCGTCCTTAAGACTTAGCGGAAAGGGAAAGTTAAGTATAAGCCCTCCAATCTGGGTTCTGTCCGGCAGGCTTGCGTGTCATGAGTCACCTACACCAACTCTTTGCCAGAATTCCATAAAATCAAAACCAAGCTCAAGTACTACCTTCGAACTTTGGAACAAATGACTTCTTTCAGGAATCTTACCCTGGTGTAAGGATCCTCTGTTGTTTTGCCCTCCTGAGAGCCATTTTCCTTTCTAGTGGGGACACCTCTGCTTTCCTGTGGGGACCCAACCCTCTACTCACTCAGTCCACACCTATTCTGGTGCAGCTGACCCCGCTGTCACCCCAGACTGAATGTGTCACCACAGTGATCTCGTTCAGAGACTAGGCACAAGACCGTATTTTGTGGGGGCCATCCAGAAAGCGGTGCTTTCTTTTCCATTGTGAAAGGAAGGTTGAGCTTGTAGGATTTCACCAGGGGCTGCTCTGGCCACATTACCAACACCTGGTGAGAGCCTGTCTGGGACTGAAACTAAGAGAAAAACTGAGGATGGAGAGGCATGGATTCCTGGGGACGTCATCTACGCCCTGCCAGCCCAGAGTTACCAGAACTATCAGCCAGAGAATTTCCTTCTTTGCTTAACATCAGTTTGAACTGGGAGCCGCGAATCATCAAAGGAGCCCTATCATACCCGCTCACACTACTTTGATGACTAATACTCTAACTCTACGTTTTGCCCCCTGAATCCTTATGAGCTAAATTTATTATTCCACTTTTACAAATACATTACTTGGTAAATGTAGTCAACGGCTTCACAGGCGTCTGTTTAATGTCCCTGGCCCCAGACGGACGGCTGCGTGGGAATAGGGCGAGTGACTTTCCCTCTCTTCTGGATGCTGCTGCATCACCTAGTACAATCCTCAGCCAAGAGTAAGCACTTAATTTGTCAAATATATTTATTAAATGTCTTCACAGAGAACGGACTGTGGAGCCAGAGGCCCTAATGTGAATCCTGATCCCGCCACTTTCTATCCGAGTGAGCTCAGGAGTGTATCTCAACCCATCTGCATTCACTCCTTCTGAAAAGGAGATAATTCCTTTTCTGACTTGACTTCACGGGGTTAATGAGAGGATATCATTGGATATCAATGGAATCAGATATTATGCGACGAACCCTTGAAAAATGGAAAGCCTCACACGGTTGCAAATTAGAATTAATACCCCAGCCATCAGCTTCTTGCCCTCCCCTTTAACCTTGAACTGCTCTAACCCCCCACTCCCAGATTAATATCTTTAAATTCTGTTTATGTTTTGTTCCTGCTAGAGTTTTCAGCACCTTCCATATTTATAATAATGACGTCTGACCATCAGTTGAGAATGCTGTGTTTTGTGTATATTTTTATTTATGAATTACGTTCATTTTCTCTCCCTGTACAAAGAGACACAGGCACACACACACATGCATGCATTACAAAGCACACACCCAAACTAGATTTTAAAGGATATGGTAAAGCTATAATTGCTAAGAATATTATTAAGATGTTTTATTTTTAATATAATTTTATTCTTTTAAAAAAAAAGATTTTATTTATTTATTTGACAGACAGAGATCACAAGTAGACAGAGAGGCAGGCAGAGAGAGAGAGGGGGAAGCAGGCTCCCTGCTGAGCAGAGAGCCCGATGTGGGGCTCCATCCCAGGACCCTGGGATCATGACCTGAGCTGAAGGCAGAGGCTTTAACACACTGAGCCACCCAGGCACCCCAATATAATTTTATTCTCACTTAAATTTGATATTACTAAAACTCATGACGCCTAGGTTTTTTCTTTTAAAGATTTATTTATGTATTTGAGAGAGAGTTGGCGGGGTAGGGACAGAAGGAGAGGGAGAGAGAGAGAAAACCTCAAGCAGACCCTCCCCCCCTGCTGATCGCATAGCCAGAAGTGGGGCTCGATCTCACCACCCTGAGATCATGATGGGAGCCAAAACTGAGTCAGACCCTTAACTGACTGAGCCACTCAGCCGCCCCTTGTGATGCTTATTTTTAAAATCTTGGTGGCATGTTTTCTTAACCATGATGGCTTCATACTATCATTTGCCAAAAAGCTCAAGGAACAACATCTCCTTAGGATGAGGCTCTCTGCTAACAGTGGGTATAAATATTTTACATAGTTTTCTTGGTAATCTCTATTTTACGGGGGTAGGAAAAGTATCAGTTTTACCATTCCTCTATTGTGCGCTTATATTTATATTACTAGACTTATCTTCAATTCACAATTTCTTTGCAGAAACCTTTTTAAACTTCTCTCAACTCTTTTTCTCACACTTAATCCAATTCAACAAATCTGTTGGCAATACATTCAAAACATGTCCAGAATCCTTCCTTTCTTGCCATTTCTCTGCTACCAGCCAGGGCCAAGCCATCATCCTATCTTGACGGAATTAGCGCACATCCCTTCTAGCTGGTTTCTCTCCCTGCATCCTCTCTCCCTTCCTGTGGTCTGTTGGGCACAGATCAGCCAGCCACTGGGATCTCCTCAGTTGGAAGTCTCTCTTGCTTCCAAACTCTCCAGTGGTCTCTCATCTCACTCAGAGTAAGATCCAAAGGACTCACAGTGGCCTGTTGAGTCCACATTACCTCCTTTTGCCCTCATCAACTCACACTCCATTCCTTGCTCACTTGGCTCTAGCACGAGGACCCCATAGCTCTTCCTTGGACACTTCCAAACAGAACTCCTCCCTGAGTCTTGCACTTGTCTTTGTCTCTGCCTATAGCCCTCTTATCTCATTCCCTGCATGTTTTCTCCCTCACTTCCTTCAGGTCTCTATTCAAACCACACACATGTGAAGTCCGGGCTTCCATGACCCTTCTCAATGAAATAGAAGCTCCCTCACCCCCGACCTACACTAATGATTCTCTGTCCCTGGGCCCTGTTTTTATTCTTCCCCGTAGCACTTACCACTTATTACCTCTAACATCGTATATATTTATTTGTTAATATTCTATCTCCACCTTTAAGAACATAAACTCCCCTGGAAGCAGAGATTTCTGCCTTTTTTGCTTATTGCTACATCTCTAGGGATGTAGAATTTTACATAGTGTCACTAATTACCTAATATCATTTCTATACCTATAACTGGTTGGCATAGGGTGTTTCTGTGAGGGACGCTTTCTTTTCATTGTCTTCCTCATTATGTTATAAACGTTGTGAGTGTTATGGCCATGCCTATGAGTGCTTTTTGAACACTCCATAACTACCTAAATACTTATATGGAAACCGTGACTTGGGATGAGTAATAATGGGAAATTTACATGAAAGAGTAGATGGTGTTTAAAGCATTTATCTCATGGTAATGGTTTATCACCAGGTCCATCTACCAAAGGGATCTCAAATGCTTTCAGCCTCAGATGTGTGGGTCTTGATGCCAAGATGAAAAGGTCTTTCTTCTCATTTCAAGGCTGCCTCATAAACACTAGGCTATAGTATGTTCTGCAGACTAACAAGCTGAAGGATACAAAAGCTGACTGAGAAGGGGAAAGACCCTAAAATCAAAACATTCTGCTTCCTGTAAGATTATTGTCTTTATAATTCACATGTTCTAAGTATACCTATTTTTGCTTTTCTTCAAAGAAAAGATGCACAGATAAATTGGGGAGTCTCCAAAGCTCCAGACAAGTGGGATCACAATGGAATTTCTTTGAGTGCTTCCAAAATACTATGGTGATCATGGCGGTGATAATGGCAATGGTGAAACTCATTAGGCATTTACCGCACGCCAGGCACTGTTGTAGGAATTCTGCATTTAATAACTTGGAATGAGAACACTCAGAAAGCCAAAGAGAAAAATCTGAAGAAACCAACTTAATCCCAAAGCTCAGCTCACAACAGAACATTATTCAGCTCATTTTAAAAATGCCAAGTATTTCTTTCTTTATCTTAAATGTCCCAATGTAGCAGGACCTACTGGTTGAACATGAAATGGCATTTAATTTGCTTCTCATATATGTAAGTTACTTAATAATTTTAAAAATTACTTTCATCTTGCAATGATCTGGGAATATTTAGTTTTTTGGTTTTGTTAAATTTCACTGGGGTTTGTGGCTTAGTGAAATTTTAGGAAAACTGATGCTTTCCAAGTGCGATGGGTCATGATGTTTGAATGTTACTCTACTGTGTTCTGTTTTAGTTTATGTAAAGGATGAGGAGGACAAGAAAGAGCAAGAATGGCTCTGGAAGGCCTATGGCACAGCTGCATGTAGTGAATGGCAGGGCTGGCTGTAAGCTTTTGAAAGTATGGACCCTCCCTGTCCCTGTCTTTGCATCTCTAGCAGCTAGCATAGATCTGGCATGTGGTACTCAGCCAGTGCTTGTAAATTACTGAAGACCAAACTGTTGTAATTGAGTTTATGTAGCAGTTAAAAATGGTGGCAACTTCCACCCCCAACCTCCACTGGGCCTTGAATTAAAAAGAGTGTGTTGTTCTTGATGTTACATTTCTTCTGGCCCGGGTGTCACAAATCAAGCAAACGAGTCAAGTTATTCATTCCAAGAAAAGAAATCTAGATAATGTTAAGTGTTAGGATAAATGGGGGATAAGTAGTTATCTGATTTCTGTACAATTGTCATCAGATCCCCTATCGTCATCCTGACATTGGTTTGTTTTATAAAAATACAACGATGCATACGAAAATGTGCTATGTCTGTGATGTGATCTGACTGCATTCAATGGAGGACTTCTTGTCAACCAGGCCTCCTGAAGTCTATTTGTAGTAACAGGCAAGTCAGCGTTCTTATCGCATCCTCTACCTCATTGTATGACCTTGGGGAGGTTTCTAGGTCTATTTTTGGCTCAGTTTTCTCATATATGGACTGGGAATAATTACTTTGTAATGTTTTCTATTAGAGAATGATCTTAAAAGATCCTCAGCTAAGACTGTTTCTAATTTAAACACTGCAATTACTGGGGCTATAAAGTACATGACAGAGTTGGAATTGACAAACCTACAACATTATTTTCTTTAAAATATTTCTTCTGCATTTTGTTCACCATTTATACAAAGTGTATCATAAAAACAGATTTCTACTGTTATTTTTACTTTTGCTAAAAGAGCAGTGATTGAGTTATAGATTTCTAGATTTATCCTAATAAAGTAGGATGAGAACAGAATGGATTCTAGTAACTAACTATTCTGATTACTGGTTCTGAGGCCTCAGACAAGTTACCCAACCTCTCTGAGGCTGATTCCTTCATCTGCACAGCAAAAATAACATGTTTTACCTCCTAGAGTTGATGTAAGTATTTAAACAACAAAAAAAAGACAATGGGGGGGTAGAAGAGAAAAGATTATGTCAAATGCCTAGTCTTCAAAAAAATTTAGTTATATGATTACTTCCTAAATAAATGCTGCTAAGGGCCTGAAAGTCCTGGCTTTGAACCAAAAGTTTCTATTTTTTTGGAAGATATTTAAAATAATGCACATTATTAAGATAAGGTAATGATACACAGTTTTGGAAAATGAGGGAATGTATTCTTACCTAAAAGCTTAAAATATCCACCTGTTCAAATGAAAATATTTTTTCCTAATTGTAAAAATAAACAGTTAAAATATAGTCCTAAAGCCAATTTCGGAAGATTTTTTTCAGGTTGTTATGAAGGCAGTTAATCTTTTTAATTAGCAAAAGAATGAGGGCAGGGAACCTGTCTTAGTGTATCTAGCAGACATCGAGTGCCTAGCCATAGTAGGTGCTCAATAAATATTCATAGATTATCTGTAGACTATTCATAGAGAGTGTATAGATTTTTGAATCGGAGAGATTTGGTTTGAATTGTGGCAATCCGTTGGAATAATAGTAGCATCTATGTCCAGAGGTTATTAAAAGTGAAAGAGGTAACACATGAAAAGAATCTGGCACGTGTAATAAGATATATTCCCCTTAGTGTTGCTCATACTTTTGCTAATTTCATCATATTGCATGTTAAGATCAAATAGTTCTCCAAATGACCAGATTAATGAACCACCGTATGTATCCTACTTAGAGAGAGACCATCCATGTATTAAAATCCTACTCAGTAAATCTTTGGCTGATATCCCATCAGAGCAGCCAAACTGTTCAGGAAAAGTAATTCCTGCTTCAAGGCTTTTCTTAAAAAAAAAAAAAAAATCTGCATTACTTGTTCAGTTTTTCTGCATGTGGCTTTCGGTTGCCTTTTTAGCTAGTGACCCTGGATTTTAACTAATGAACTCCAGCTGTTCTTACTTTGCCTTCCATCCCTTCTCATTTAACCTCCTGTCTCCCTGGTCTCACATCCTTAAAGTTCTTACAGGAAAAATGGGACAGTGCCAGAGTTTTCAAATGAGGCCTCCTCTCTTCTGGAGGGGAGAGGGCTTCTCCAATAAGGGCTCCCAGCTTTTTTGGTGACGGAAAAAGAAACACTCATTGTTGGGAAATGGGTGCCTAACAGCCTCCAAAGTGTCAAAAATCCTCTTGCGGTTTTTCATATTATACAAGCAAAGCGTTCAGTAAGGTAAGTCCGTAAAACAAACACAGGAAGTCCACAGTTGAATACTAAATGTAATTGCAAACACCTGGGAGGGAGAGGCAATTCCTCCGTAAATATGTGATAAAAGAAACATCTACCATGAAGAACAATACAGATCCAGCTTTTCTGAACCACGCTGAGAGCCATCTGTTAGCAAAACTGGCAAAAAATTTTCATTGCTGAGTCAAATGTCAACCTGAAAAACTTGGCCGTGGGTACAATCTGAGCGAGGCAGGCCCGAAGTAATAGGCAAACCTGAACGCACAAAGGCAACACCATGAAAATGCAGGGAAGCTGGGCCAGAGGCTCTCCTATTATATTGGTGACCTGGGGATTTCTATTATGTTCAGAAATACCATTCAACCTAGCCACACATCTCTTTCTAAATCTGATCCTACTTTCATGGGGACCACTAATAAGTACATTAGTAAATGCAGCTTCTATTACATTAAACACTTAAAATCTTGCTTTCCTCCAGAATGCCCCTGATCCTACCGGGATGAATTTCTGTCTAACCTGACAGTCATTTGGTCCCTCTACTCGAATTCAAGATGATGTATTTCCCAGGGGCTCTAAAAGGGTTTTGAAAATGGCATCAAATTCAGTTATAAACTCATTTTCTAAATTGCTTTTTCCATGCCTGTTTGCATAACCCATCCTTCCTTGTTCAGTTCAGAATCTGACTCCATTAGCCACACCGAGACTCGCTGGTTCTCGTCTTCGTTTACGTCTTTTTTTAACCTCCATTACAACACTTGTAACTTGAATCATCTGTTCTGTTAAAACTGAAAATGACACAAAGATCAGGGCTTTTTCTTCTCATCCTTCACAAGGCCCACCAATATGTTGTGCAAATAGTGTGTGATCCAAAAAGAGGGGAAGATAAAGTAGTTAAAAGAGGAGAAAATGAAAGGGAAGAGCCATTTCTGGCTTTGATGGTTTGTTTGTTTGACTTTTTTTTTTTTTTTTTTTTTTTGGTTAAAAAGGATAAAAAACCTTTCATCTTTTTTTTTTTTTTTTTTTAAGATTTCATTTATTTATTTGACAGAGAGAGATCACAAGTAAGCAGAGAGGCAGGCAGAGAGAGATGGGCGGGGTGGGGGGGAAGCAGGCTCCCTGCTGAGCAGAGAGCCAGACTCGGGGCTCGATCCCAGGACTCTGGGATCATGACCTGAGCCGAAGGCAGAGGCTTCAACCCACTGAGCCACCCAGGCACCCCTCATCATTTTATTTTCAATGGTTCATGTAAAAGGTTAATAAATTGTATTTTAATTATTTATTTTCACTATATTGTCTTCTTGATTTTTTTTTGTTAAACATGGGGCTTGAACAAACAACCCTGAGATTAAGACCCGAGCCAAAAACAAGAGCCAGATGCTTAACTGATTGAGCCACCCAGGTGCCCACTTCTTGATTTTTATATTATAAATTATTAGTTATCCTGATAGTGAACAAGACATCCCTAAAAGAAAGGAACAAGAATGGAATAGTAATAGCCACTATTTGTGGAACTCTGTAAACGTGATAAGGGCTTTCAGATGCATGTTCTCCTTACAACTCAATAAAAGAGGTACTCTTATCCTCTTTCTACAATAAATGGGGTCTAAAACAGGTCAACTAATCAATCTACCCACATTCACACCATAGTAACTGGTGGATTTAGGATTCAAACCCAAGTCAATCTGACACCAGATGCCTCACCTACTTGCTGTACTGCCCAAGGTACAGAGAACATATAGAGACAATAAAAATTCACACCTTCCCGAAGAGTTTCTCAAATGCTATCTAAACAACTTATGATTTCCAGGTTAATTATTTATTGAGAATTTGTGTGCTTGCATTATTTTTCCTCTTCTACATAGACTTGTCAGGGTTACATAGACGTAGCCTTGGTGCTTTAGCATGGGACCCAACATGTAGAGGGTATTTAAGTGAATACACATTGAGTTCATAGTCTTGGGCAACTAATATAATCATTTTGAATCTTAATTTCTTCGAGAGTAAATAATAAAATGAGAGTATAAATATATTCCAAAAACAATTAGGAAGAATACAATTGCAATTATAATATTACTTCTAGAAATATCAAAAGCCAGATGCTGAATGGATAGGCTCAATGGACTTTTTTTTTTTTTTAACCAAATTGAGGACTTGTAAAACAGATCTCTTGGTTCTTACCTTCCCGAATAGCTGTAAACGGGACTCCTTCCTCCGCATTCATACTGATGACTTTTAGAGCCACTAGTTGTCCATTTATCCTAGAAGAGTGGGGTGGGGTGAGGGGGGAAGGGCACACATTTATTGAGATGGTTCATAGCAGTTCGTAGCAACAGTTTGTACCAAGGACAGTGTAACAAAAGTACCTTTCCTTCCAAATACATTCCAGCATGTGCATCCACAATGTTCTCAAAATAAACAGTTTTAAAAAGCCATATGTAAGTATACCAAAATTTTTTTTTCTTTTTACCAAAGTGGTAGAGGCTCATTATAGAAACTTCGGCAAATACCGAAAAGCACAGAACCCTGGCCCCCTCTCCCCAACCAAATCCTTCCTCGTAGTATTTCCATGTATCTTGTTCATTTCATTTCTCTTTGTGCACTTTAAGCCACCCTTATTTTCCACCTAAATTGTTCTAGTGACTTCCTAACAGTTTCCCTACTTGTATGTCTGTCTCTACCTCTACTGTGTACTCTCAATAGAGGAGCCCAGGGCATCCTTTTTAAGGAAAAGTCAGAACAAACCACTTGTCTGCTTAAAACCCACGGTTATCTTCACTTTTCACTCTGAAGGAAAGCCAAATTCTTACAACCATCTCCTAGGTGCACCTGATCTGCCCAGCCCCACCAGTAGTTCTCTCTCTCTCTTCCTTTCTCCTCTTATTCATCATTTTGTTCCCTGATGTAAGTGAAGTCTTGGAGAACCAAGATTTTCCTACGAGGATAAATACGTTGTTTTTCTTAAAGATTTTATTTATTTTTTTTTTGAGAGAGAGCACAGAAGGAGAGGGAGAAGCAGACTCCCAGACCGACGTGGGGCTGGAATCCAAGACCCTGGGATCATGACCTGAGCTGAACGCCCAACCGACTGAGCCACCCAGGCGCCCCTAAATATATGATTTTTAATCCAGTGGGATTCACATCATATTATTAATAACCTGCTTTTCCTCCATCTAATTTTTCTTTTATTCATTCTTGTCAAGTGTGGTATGTAATGAGATAATATTTCATCATATAAATATACTACTACAGTATGTTTATGCTTAGCTGCTTCCAAATGCTTTCAAATTGTTTCTTTGGGCCATTATAAAATATACAGTCACAGTCATGTTTGTAGCTCAATCTTTTCACACAGCCCCTATTCTTTCCTTAGGGTAGAGTTGGAATTGCTAAGTCAGAGTATGCTGCGTGTACATTTTTATTGTTTTGAACACATGTTCCCAAACTATGCCACAGAATGATTACAACGCTGACTGGTCATGTGAGTGGCCATTCCAGCACTTTCTTGCCAACACTGGGCAGGCATTTTATTTTCCTGTGTCTTTTCATTTTTTAGAGCAGTTTTAGATTTAAAGAAAAATTGAGATGATCACACAGAGAGCTCTCATATATCCCTCATCCAGTTTACCCTACTGTTAATATATTAGTATGATACATTTGTTATAATTAATGAGCCAATATGGATACAGTATTATTAACTAAAGCTTATAGTTTATTAAGAATTCTTTAGTTTTTTGCAGTAAGAATGTATTTCTTATTGTGGGTTGCGTTGTACATTGGTAAAATTTGGGGGTAGTGCAACATGATAGTAACACAGGAAAAGTCATAAAAGTACCAGACTCAAGGATTTTTCCCAATAAACTTATTTAATAATGATTTTTAAATTTCCAAATGCATGTAAGATATTCTCAACCGTGTTATAATAGAACAAAGTAGAAATAGCTGAAATATCCAACATTAGAACAACATAAAAATGTGTGGTACATCAACAGGATAGAATACTTTGAATTCATGACAATAGCTTAAGTCCAGAGACAGGTAGAAAGAGAAAATATTCATGATAAAATGAACAATAGAATACAAAATAGCAAGCACACCATGTTTATGACTTTAAATAATTTGTGTGCCTATGCAATTGCCGTACTAGAGTGATGGATTATGGAGGATTTTTAAGTTTTAAAAATGAATTTGTGGGGCACCTGGGTGGCTCAGTGGGTTGGGCGTCTGCCTTTGGCTCAGGTCATGATCTCAGGGTCCTGGGATCGAGCCCCACATCGGGCTTTCTTCTCAGCGAGGAGCCTGCTTCCCCTTCTCTCTCTGCCTGTCTCTCTGCCTACTTGGCGATCTCTCTTTCTGTCATATAAACAAAAATAAAATCTTAAAAAAATTTTTTTAAAAAATGAATTTGCGGGGCGCCTGGGTGGCTCAGTGGGTTAAGCCACTGCCTTTGGCTCAGGTCATGATCTCAGGGTCCTGGGATCGAGTCCCGCATCGGGCTCTCTGCTCAGCGGGGAGCCTGCTTCCCTCTCTCTCTCTCTCTCTCTCTCTGCCTGCCTCTCTGTCTACTTGTGATCTCTCTCTGTCAAATCAATGAATAAAATCTTTAAAAAAAATGAATTTGCTGTTACATATTCCTTTTTTTTCTTTTCTACAGCAGTTATAAGTTTCCTATGGTTTTCCAACTTGATTTCAAAATGTTTTCTTTTTATCTCTTAAAATAGATGTCACAATAAATATGTATACATTTATGAACTCAATTAATTTATCTTAGTCTTTTTGGAAGTTGAGATATAATCAACAGATAGCATTTGGAGGTCCATGGTGTACAATGTGTTGTTTTGATACATTTGTATATTGCAGTATGACATCAGGATTTCTTTAGTTTTTACCTAATGTCCTTTCTCTGTTTCAGGATCCCATCTAAGATGCCACATTACATATAGTTGTCATGTCTCTTTAGGCGCCTCTCGGTTGTGACGTATTCCCAGACTTTCCTAGTTTTTGATGACCTTGACCGTTCTTGAGGAGTACTGGTAAAGAATTTTGGAGGCTACCTCTCTACTGGGATATTTCTGATGTTTTTCTTATGATTAGATTGGGGTTATGGATTTTGAGAAGGTAAAGTGCCATTTTCATCACATCATATTACCATGTCAGAATTTGAGACAGACACAGGAAACTATCATGAAGATGGTTAAGGGTACATACTGTCATCAGAATTCATGGCTTTTGACAGTGACCTTAATCAGTGAGGTAGTGTCTGTCAGGTTTCTTCACTGGTTATTCTTCCCCCACTCCTTATCCACAGTGTACTTTTGGAAGAATGTCGCTATGACTAACCCACACTTGACTTCAGTTACTTACATAAATTATTTGAAATTCTTCTGCACAGGACATTTTCTCTTCTCTCCCATTTATTAATTTACTGAGTCATTTATTCATAGCAGTGTAGACTCATAGATATTTCTTTTACACCCTGGGTTATAATCCAATATTAGTTTATTATGTTGCTCACATTGTTCCAGCTTTATCTTTTGGGAGCCCTTTCAGTTGGCTCCTGTGTCCCTTTGACATATCCCCATAAATATGGGGTTTGTTTTTTGGAGGGTCATACATCTATCTTCATTTTTTAATGTCTATTTAATTTGCCTGAAAAGGATTATCACATTTTAATTTCTATTTCTTTAACTAATCGTGGACCTGAGTTTTCTTAAGTTTATTGGTCTTTTCTATTCTTTCGTGATTTGCCTATTTGCCCATTTTTAATTGATATTTTTTGCATATACTTTTCACCAGTTTATTTTGTCTGCTTTCACATGTCAATAAAATTTTGAGCTTTAAAACTTTTGTGAAGTCCAGTATTTTCCAAAATGTTTTACTCAGGGCTTACCTCTGTGACATTCTTCCCATCCCCCTCCAAACCAATTTTTTGGTCAAACATGTTTAGAAAATGCTTTATACTTTACAAATTTTCTTAATCTTTCTTAGACAGTCATGGAATACATGAACATTTTAAAGATGCTGAGAGTACTTGTAATAAAGAATCACATTTTTTATTTTGTTTTAGGTTTCCCTGCAAAGATTTGACAATAGTAAGTGTTTCAATGAAACATCTACTAAGGGCTCTCAGAACTAGGGCTCCCTAGGACATACATGGGTAATTGAGGCACCATGGACACTTCCGCTCTTCTCTAAAGGGCTCCGACTTCAGTATGATGTGTAGATAGATCTTTCTAGCCCAAAGATTACACAGAATTTCTTTACCTATTCCCCTAGTTCTTATCTTTTCTTTTTCATTTATCTCTTTAATTTACTAGGAATTCATATTGTGTATTTACCTTTTCCAAGTTAGTAACGACCATCCCAGCTTCATTATTGGACTGTTTTCTTTTCCCTGATGATTTGACAAGTTACCATGATCATGTATATATTAGATCTCACTGATACTGGGTCCGTGACTGTTCTGGACTTTAGAAATATTTATTTCTTTGATCTGTCTTTTCTTATACTACACTTTTCTTATACTCCACTGTTATCGTAGCTTTTTAACATATTTATATTAAAACTTGAAATTAAAGAATCACTGACACCTTTGTAGTATTAAATTTTCTAACCCAGATATTCTGTACTTACTATAGTCTCTGGAATAATCCATAAGACCTTATACACCTGGTAGACTACAATTGCACCTGTTCCTTGTCCTCATCTCTTTCCCCCCTTCCCTCCAATGTCCTGCCTGTTCCTGCCTCTGGAATTTGTTGCTTGCTATTCCCTCTGCCTGAGGATCTCTCCCACTGCTCATGTACATGGCTCATGCCTCATCTTTGTCAGAGTCTGTTTTCAAGTGTTCCCTTCTCATACTACTATTTAAAATAATCATCTCCCACCTCACTCTGGGACCCCTAACCCTTCACTGTTTTATTTTTTTCCAAAGCACTTTTCACTCTTTGACAGACTCAGTCTTTCGTTAATTTGTTTATTGCCTATCTTACCCTGACCAGTATGTACCCTCCAAAAGAGTATTTGGTCTCCTTTGTTCTCCAATGACCATTTGTTGGCTGAAACAGTGTCTGGCACATAGTAGGTGCTTAATAAATGTAGAATAAAGGTTCCTGGCTCTTTCTCAGGTCTAATGTCCCTTACTAAATCTTTGCCCATTTTTGGATACTAAAGATTTTTTTGTTGATATATTTTTTTAAGATTTTATTTATTTGACAGAGAGAGATCACAAGCACGCAGAGAGGCAGGCAGAGAGAAAGGAGGAAGCAGGCTCCCTGCCGAGCAGAGAGCCCGATGCGAGGCTCGATCCCAGGACCCTGAGACCATGACCTGAGCTGAAGGCAGAGGCTTAACCCACTGAGCCACCCAGGCGCCCCTTTTGTTGATATTTTAAGAGTCACTTCCCTTTCTATATTTTCTATTAAATGGTTATTGCTAATAAATAAGATGGCTTTTGATAAGTGTATTTTGATTTGGTAACTGATCACCTTACTGTTCTTGCTTCCTGCTTCTATTGGTTTCTTGGGTGATTCCCTTGGGTTTTTTAGGTAGACAGTTCTGTATTCTACAAAAATTATATTCAGTCTTCTTTTTTTCTGCCATTGCATTGAATAGAATACTTATGATAATCTTTAACAGTAAAGGATAATGAGCAGTCTCACCCTCTCTCTAACTTAATGGGGATGTCTCTAGCATTTAACAAAAAAGGTATGTGATCGATGATTTGAAATATTCTATATCAAAATGAGGAATTATCATTCTATTCCTATTTTGCTCAGAGTTTTAAAAACTAGTAACTGGGGACACCTGGGTGGCTCAGTGAGTTAAAGCCTCTGCCTTCTGCTCAGGTCATGATCCCAGGGTCCTGGGATTGAGCCTCGAGTCGGGCTCTCTGCTCGGCAGGGAGCCTGCTTCCTCCTCTCTCTCTACCTGCCTCTCTGCCTACTTGTGATCTCTCTCTGTCGGATAAATAAATAAAATCTTTTAAAAAAACAAACAAACTAGTAACTAACTGATGTTGAATTTATTTGGCATCTATCGCTATGATATTTTAAAACTTATTTTTAAGTGATAAATGTAATGCTTTTGTGGTAAGGAATAAAGGGAAAAATCTGAGTAATCTCTTTCTCCACCACAGTTTCAACCACTAGAAGTAACTACATTTCACAATCTCTTGTGCATTTTTCCAGACTCCTCTAAGCGCAGATAAATTTATACATGCATAGTACATCAGAGTGTTTTTTTTTTCCTAATTGAGAGTATAGGGTATATATTATTCTGTAACTTGCTTTTGTCTTTTAGAATATTGGACACTTTTCTTTTTTTTTTTTTTTAAAGATTTTATTTATTTATTTGACAGAGAGAGATCACAAGTAGGCAGAGAGAGAGAGAGAGGGAAGCAGGCTCCCTGCTGAGCAGAGAGCCCGATGCGGGGCTCGATCCCAGGACCCTGAGATCACGACCTGAGCTGAAGGCAGATGCTTCACTGACTGAGCCACCCAGGTGCCCCTAAACAAGTATTTCTAATGTATTTTTTATCCTATTACTCAGGCGAGTCTCTTGAAAGACATATTTTATATTCTTAGTTTCTAAGATAATCTATGGAATTCAATTAAACAATATATTTTAAATATTTCCCTAAAATCCTGTTTCAGCGTGTAAAAATAATAACCTGATTACTAGAATAATAGTCTTGCACTATTTATATTATATTTTTAAGATGAATGTTTAAATATTATTGAGTCATTATTTTTCTCCACTGGAGTAACATAAATTAAAAAAAAAAAATCAGACCTCTGACTTACCCACCTTGACTAAAAAAGCAATGACGTTCATGAATCTTTCACGTATATTTAACAAACTTTGCTGACCAAAATGGGCCTGAGCCTTCTAGATTAGCATCATTTTTATTCTGCAGCCATTTTGTGTATTTTGCAAGTGTACAAACCCCAGAACTAATCCTTTTCTGCATTTATCATACTTCGTAGACACCAACTTCAGTTTCCTCTAGGAAGGTAAAGCAAGAAGGAAGGAGCAAACGTAGGGCTGCCATTGCAAACCTCTGTCATGGTGCCTTAGGGAGAGATAAGAAAACCCTTGAGAGACTGCCCTTGGGAAGAGCAGTGCTTGTTCCTTGGGTCCATAATAGAAAGACTCTCCTTCGAATCGAGTAGAAGAGAGAAGCTGATAAACATCTCAGGGGGCTGATTTTAATGAGGGCAAGAGAAGTTCATTTTTCTTACAAGTTTCCTTAAGTCATCATGTCTCTCCCTGTTCACTATGGTATCTTACATGGGTCCCGAACTTCGACCCTGTGTCCCCCAGCTCTATAATTTCCAATGAGAGGGGCGGGAGCTCATCTGCAGAGTCTATCCCAGCATGAGTCACTCACCTGCTAATCCCCTTGTAAACTGTAGCATAAGAACCTTCACCCAGCTTCTCCAAGTTCAGGTAAGATGATGCTGCCCCAAAAGGGAGGCTCTTCTTCTGCTTGGGCAGAATGGGGAGGGGTGAGAGGTGGGAGAGAAAGAAAGAGCCCTTTTTATTTTAAGGTTCACTTTCCCCACCCCCCACCCCCCAGAGAAATTAGACAGCACTGCCAGAGTATACTTGGAAAGACCCTCTCCGTAACTGCCCGGGGAGGGGGGTCGACCTCCCTAGACAAACACATATTAATTCTTCATCTGCATCAGCTGTTGACTCACCCACTGAAAACCCTGCCTCAGATCCTCTTCCTGAAAAGAATCACTGTTACTCCGTGGCCTTTTACTCTGGAACTTCCGGGCACGGACAGCCCGAAATCCCCTGGGGTGAAATGAAGTCATGGAACATGATGCTTCTTTTAGGTCTGTCAGCTGGAGAAAAAGGAAAGTACAGGAATAAAATGTATGCAGTCAAGACTCAGTGGCTGACAAAACCTATTTTTTCTTCATTTGTCTGATTGTCACTCTTCAGATGTTTTCTAAGCCTCCTACACCGCCCCCCCCCCAAAAGCAAGTCTTTTCCTGAAAGCCAGATCCTTAAAAAAGACCATGATGATATCAAGTGCAGAAACTCTACATTCTTTCTTCACTTAAAAATATGTCTTCAACACTTCAGTTAACCTAAATCTCTCTGATGGACGGTTTCCAATTTTTCTCTGTTTAACTCGCCTTTTTTTCCCCATCATGTCCTCTTAATTTATCTTTTTTGGGGGGGACGATTTTTCTCGTGTGTCATTGCTAATAACCATAAGTTAATCATCAAGATTTTGAATCCATAGCCTACCAATACTGCAGTTTGCTTTCTGAGGCTCAGCGCTGTAATTTAATACTTGAGAGATTACAAGAGAATAACTACTTTCTCAACTTCAAGTCAGCTGAGTTTTGTGCGGCCCGAAGCACACGATTGTTTTTCCCTGTTGGTTTACAAGAACATCCACAAATTTGATAACAACGGCCATAAATTCTCTATGGCTTTAATAGGATTTTCCTTTTATTGGTTTAGACCCACCGCAGAAAAATCTGACCCTGCTTCAGAAAGGGAGTCTCTGAATTCCTCCATTTATCAACAGAGGAAGATGCTGCTGGGAGACAGATACCTCGATCGCAGCCTCCGCGGGCTCGGGCACAGGCGCTGTCCTCTGGCAGCTGTGCGCATCGCCTCCCTCCCAACAGCGATGGCAGCTGCCTCCAGGCTGGAGAGTCTTTGTACACAGCTCTTGACCCATAATCTTCCAGGTTCAAGGAGAAAACCCGCACTTGAACCTCTCCCCTCTGCCTCTCCCGTCCTCCTTCGCTCCCTTTTTGCCGGAGGTCAGCAAGGCTGGAGCTTTCATATGACTCACATGAGGGCTCTGAGTGGAGGAGCCTCATGACTTCAGCAGTTTTTCCCCATCACGGCAAAAAGCTACATCCGAAAGGTGGCCGCCTGCATTCTTCTGTGCGCAACTGGAAACAGGACAGCTAATATCGGCTGCAATCAATTTTGGCACCAAGTCCTTCTTCCAGGCGCAAGTTAGGGCTGTTACCATACACAGCTTTGGTGAATTTACGTTGCTTAGCCATGTAAATGATCATGATATTTATTAGGCTTCCTGGGAGCTAAAGTGAAGAGTATTTTCTCCCTGCCTTTCAACTGAAAGCATTTTACTTCTCAGACTAAAATAAATTTGCAGCCTAGCCAACTTTAAGTAGTCAAAGAAACCACAGAATCACAGAATAGGAAGATATCTTCATCTCTTTGCTTCCAGCAATAGTGTACAATATCTAAGAGTCCCACAGGGGTAGTCATTCATTCATTGATTCGAAAATGATCTGGTGAGCACCTGTGTTGTTTTTACTATACAGACAATGGTGTTACCCAGTGGTGGGGAGAGAGGAGTTTGCATGAAATATCTTCTTCTCTCCCTCTCTTCTTCCCACTCCCCTGGCCCTTCTTGCCACATAAATGTAATTAATGGTTACTGAATTAATAGCATGACATGTCAAGGAACTAACTTGATTTACTTTGTAGTCTTTGAGCAGAAATGTTTTTTCCTCATACACTCCTAATATTATTGTCACTATAATGTACTAACCAGAGTGAGACAGAATGTAGAATATACACACACACATAATCAGGATCATTGAGGGAAAAAGTTTAATCATGTCTAGTACTACAACAATATTTTTGTATGTTTGATACCTGAACCTCAATAGTTAAAAAAAAAAAAACCCTTTCAGAGAATTTAATGATGAGTATGATTGAAGATTTATTTCAAAATTGCCACAAGAGAAGAGATGGTAAAACAGGCCAACTTAAAGATTCACTTAAATTGTAGATTTTTCTTTTTAAGATTTTATTTACTTATTTGACAGAGAGAGAGAGAGCACAAACGGGGAGCGGCAGAGGGAGAGGGAGAAGCAAGACTCCCCACTGAGCAGGACACCTGATACGGGGGCTCGATCCCACAACCCTGAGATCATGACCTGAGCCAAAGGCAGACGCTTAACTGACTGAGCCACCCAGGCGCCCCAAATTAGAGACATTTAATTTTTCTAAGATTTTATTTATTTATTTGAGAGAGAATGAGTGAGAGAGAGCATGAGAGAGGAGAAGGTCAGAGGGAGAAGCAGACTCCGCAAGGAGCTGGGAGCCCGATGTGGGACTCAATCATGGAAGTCCGGGATCATGACGGTTGCCCAAGGCAGTTGCTTAACCAACTGAGCCACCCAGGCGCCCAGAGACATTTAATTTTTAAAAAAAGTGATGAGTTAAACTATACATAAAGAAACTATTTATTTAAAGGCTCTTAAATCTTTGACCAACAATTGACAGAGAGTGAAATAAGTTAATTTCCCAGAATACTTAATTCCATTAGAATTTGTCATAATTTGATTATAATACATTTTATGAGAAATGCTGATTTTTGCTTACAAGGAGGTTGTGAATTTTATCGTACCCAGGCCAAGTTTGAGACAGTTTTTCTTTATTACTCTCTAATTATCATAGGTTTCAGATTTTTTAAATGGCTAGCATTTTTATTTGCTAGGAGGTTATTTACCTAAGACTCAAATTGCTTAAAGAGAATAGTCTAATGCTTAAGGCTTAAAATATTATGTTTAGGCTTAAAATGCTATGTTCAGATACTAGATGGGCTGCTCAAGGAAGTTGTGAAATACGCTACAGAATTTTCTTTTCTTTTCTTTTTTAAAGATTTTTTAAAATTTTTTGTTTTATTTCTTTGAGAGAGAGAGAGAGAGATAGCACAATCTGGGGGAGAGGCAGAAGGAGAGGGAGAAGCAGACTCTGCACCAAGCAGGGAGCCCGATGAGGGGCTCGATCCCAGGACACTGGGATCCTGACCTGAGCCGAAGGCAGATGCTTAATGGACTGAGCCACCCAGGTGTCCCCACTTCAGAATTTTCGAAAATAAGATAATTTATGGTCTTATTTAAAGTCAAGGAAAAATATTAGATGCCTTCTTGAGATGTTTTCTAGTTTTCTGCCCAAAACAAATTTTGTTATCAAATATTTCTAAGGACAGAAGATTTAGATGATTTCATATTTTTCCTCCAAATTTTTATTTACATTCCAGTGAGTTAACATGTAGTGTAATATTGGCTTCTGATGTAGAATTTAATGATCCATCACTTACAACATGCAGAGCTCTTCACAAATGGGTTTCATTTTGAATTGTGAATCAGGCCCAGTTTCTGCATCCCTCTGGGTTGGGGCGACCTATCTCAGCAGCTGGGTCAGCTTCATGGCTGGAGAAGCCCACTACACTGTTGTCTTTCTTTTCTTTTCTTTTTTTTTTTTTTTTTAAGAGAGAGAGAAAGAGCACAAGCAGGAGGAGCAGGCAGAGAGAGAGGGAGAGGCATATGGGTCTGGATCTCAGAACTCTGAGATCATGACCTGAGCTGAAGGCAGATGCTTAACTGGCTGAGCTACGCAGGCATCCCATTCTATCTCTTGAAGTGTGCTGCTGTTACTGCTACCTCCCCCATCACCAAAGAGCCCTCACTCATAGAGTCACTGACAAGGAGAGACCTTCATGCCTAGCCACCCGCCTGCCAGGGCCAGGTAACGCAATTAAGAAAGGAGGAAGTCCCATGGAGTGCCTTCCGCCATTATGATGCCAACAATGACTATTGGGAGGTAAGACCAGATGAAACAGCTCCATGCACTAGCATCTCCCTCCTTCACTGCTTTGCTACCTTTGCCCCTTGCTTCTAATTCCCTGGGATTGCACATGACTCCCCACCCTCAAAATTATTCAGTGTTAGCATGTAAGCTTTTGCTTCAGGCTCTATTTCTGGGGAATCTGTGTTAAGACAAATCGTAGCCATTTTTTAACTGGCAGTAAAATTATAGGTTGTAGACAATTTCAGACTTGATTCTTCTGCCCTACATTTTTGGAGTCCTTTTTGCTTTCTCACTGGCTGGGAATTCGAAGTACTATATTTAGTTGAGAATTTACCCTTTTCCCAATATTTGCATTCTGTCTAAATTTGGCCAGATTATTAGTAACTATGGTTTAATTATAACCGTTCTAGAATATGTAGATTATCACAAGCATTCAACAAACAATAACATGACGAATAATGTGATGTTTGTCAGAAACATTAAAAATAAACATCTACACAATGGAGTAATATACAGCTATAAAAAAGAGAGAGCTCTACATAATGACAGGCAGTGATCATCAAATATATTGTGAAGTGGAGAAAGCAAAGTGCTTTTGTGTGTTTTTGAGACAAAGGAATGAGGAGAAATAAATTGTAGTCAGTAATTTTATTAATATTACTGCTATTACTTTGAAACTGTTATTGGTGTATTTTAGGATTAAACAAATAAATAATTATGATAATGTCATCAGAGCTAAATTTTCAGCATAAGACAAAATAGGCATAAGTATCATATTAAACAAATCAGGTAGAAGTCATGTGATTTTTTTCTTTTTAAGTAATCTCTATCCAATGTGGAGCTTGAACTCACAACCTCAAGATTCAGAGTCACATGCTCTACTGACCAAGCTAGGCAGGCAGCCCAAAATCAAATTCAATTTGATTTGGAAATACCGATACAGACTTCTGATTTTTTCCTAAAAAAATCTCTGTCAGCCAAAAGACCTAGAAACAACGATGGCCCAACAGTAATGACTAGTGATCAATTTGTGATCCCTAAATACCAGTTTCCATTAAAAGGAACCAAGCATCCATGGAGAAATGGTGGCTAGATATCTAGAACATGAAATCTTACTAAGAAGTTATCAAGAAAGATGTTCTCAAACTGATGGTCACCAGAAGAGAGGTGGGCAGAGGGTTGGGTTAAATGTATGATGGGGATTAAGGAGTGCGCTTGTGACGAGCCCTTAGTGACGTATGGAAGTGTTGAATCATTGTATTGTACACCTGAAACTAATATCACGCTGTATGTTAACTAACTGGAACTTAAATAAAAACTTAAAAAAAGAGAGAGAAAGCTGTCCCAGGCTCATCTAATGCCAAAGGGGTTCATGTCAAAAGGATATAGGAGCCAACTTGAAGGGACTCCCATTTGGTTTAAGATGGAACAATGTGAGTATCAAAAAGAATAATAACTTCAAGGGATTGAAACATGTGAACTACATAAAATCCGTGAATTTATCTAAACAAAGTTGCCACCTGGAGGTTTCTTAGTGTACCAGTTCATGACTCTGAATATTGATGAATAAAGGGGAAAAATCAAGTATATTTTGTCTTTTATATACATACTGTTTTTCCAGGGTTATCAGATAATTAGTGAGGGGGAAATTCTTTCTTATAGAAGAATTCCAGCTAATAAATAAAGAAGAAATGATAAAAGTAGGAAGTTCAGTCTTATTCAATAGTAGAGCTAAGCAGCAATCATCAATGGAGGCTAAGATCATTAGGTGAAAGACTGATAAGGAACTTTGTAATGAAAGGTCAGGTTGACACCATCCGAGGTCGATGACCAGTCTTAGTTTTACTAAACTTGGGGTACCCAGACATTAGTACCAGGAAGCATACAGCATCATCTGTGATGTGTTTTTGGCTAAAGAAAAAAATTTAACCTGAATCTCATCAAGTGTCTAAGATCTAAAACCAAATTATAAGAAGTACAGGGGACGGGTGCCTGGGTGGCTCAGTGGGTTAAAGCCTCTGCCTTCAGCTCAGGTCATGGTCCCAGGGTCCTGGGATCGAGGCCCGCATTGGGCTCTCTGCTCAGCAGGGAGCCTGCTTCCTCCTCTCTCTCTGCCTGCCTCTCTGCCTACTTGTGATCTCTCTCTCTGTC